ACTGTCTGACCCATTATTGAAAAAAAATTGCTGATCCCTCGCTTTCACCCAAAGATTCCTTGCCCACTTGTTCTTGTTGAGCATGGCCAATGGGGAGCAGCTGCTGGAGGTCAGGGGCAGAGGAGGGTGGGCTTTGGGGCATTTACTCCCTGCCTGTCCCTCCTTGAATCTCTGTGGGTTGGCTGAACCAGCTTCTGAAGGTCATAGCTTCTGCCAGGTGGTCCTCAAAAATAAAATACTAAAAAGAAAACAGTCAAGTGATAACAGATTGGAGGAGAAGTTTGAATGCTAAGAAGAAAAGAACCAGGAAATGATCTAGGGAAATGCCTTTTTGTGAAGAAGATTAAGCTGGTGCAAACTTCCCGTGCACCACTGTTTGAATCACGGAAGGGCTCCTGTGGGCTGACTGGCAGGGATTAAGGTGAAGTGTTTATATGTGGCCTTGTAGACATGTGGTAAGGGTTTTATTACAGGTGCATTGGGAATGTTTAAACAAGGATGCTGTAATCTAATGTGTGATTTAAAATAATTCACTCTGGCCATTGTTTGGAGAGGGAGTAGTTTGGCAGTGGGTATTGCAGTGATGGGCAGGTCCTCAAACAGAAAGCTGTGGCTGAGTGCTGTTCTGGTATCTTCCAGTAGAACTTTGAGGAAGTTACTGGACTCAGGTCCAGTAAGGCATGCTAGAGTTGGTAGGGGAGCCCATGATAATTGGAATTAGGTTTCATGAAATTTCTGGTGTATCAGCTGGATTTGACACAGAGAGCACATTACATTACTTTAGGAGATAATGTCTCATTTTCTGCATTTTAAACTTTGTACAGTTTTAAAAGCTATCATCTACTCTCTCTTCAGACAGTCAAGGATAAAAGCTCGTTTGGGGGTATATTTTTCTATCTGGCTTCTGCGAGATTTGAACAGGGAAAATCAGGTGTGACCCTGAGCAGCTTGTGATTGTGCTGTGACTGGCTGATTGGTATCGACTGTGTTCTCTGTATGGCTCTGGATTGCTCCTCTGGGTTTCTTGGTCCAGGCACCATGGTTAACTTTCATGTTCTATTTGCAGTGCTTCAGCCACATTCATTTACAGCCTACATTTTATAAAGGCTGGTATTCATTCTCCCTGCCTCTAAACACACACACACACACACACACACACACACACACACTCTCTCTCTCTCTCTCTCTCTCTCTCTCTCACTCTCAAAGCAGTTGTAAAGTCAGGTCCTTCCTCACCTCTTATGATCTCATTCCCAGTGTCCTAGGAGATGTTTTTGGCTGCTCAGAAAATCTTGACAGAACTCTTCACCCACCTGCCTTTGTGTATTTAGGATTTTCTTTTCTCCCAGCTTCTGTGTTTCATTTAGGTTTGCCTGTTTCCCGCAGTATGTGTGGTTAAGTTCTTTTGGTAGGGGTTGTGCAGAGTTTTGGAGAAGGCAGTGGCACCCCACTCCAGTACTCTTGCCTGGAGAATCCCATGGACAGAGGAGTCTGGTGGGTTGCCATCCATGGGGTCGCACAGAGTCAGACAGGACTGGAGCGACTTAGCAGCAGCAGCAGCAGCAGTGCAGAATGTGTCATTGATTCATTTAACAACTCTTTGCTGGCGGGCTCTGTGCAAGTGAGTGGAGAGTCTTTGTTTTCAAGGAACACGTGGTGCCCTGGGTAGCTTACGCACCTAAGCCAGTCTTTATAATTGAGTATGGCAAGTGAAACAGAAGGGTGATGGTTATCACAGGAGGGGGGAAGCACCGTGGCCAACAGCCCAGATGCTGGAGCCGGGCAGCCTTGGTTTGTATCCCAGGCACACTGCTAATTTTTTTGCGTGTTTCTGGGCAAATTACTTATACAGTCTCTGTATCTTATTTTCCTTATCAGGGAAAAGGAAATGTTGCAAGGGTTAAGAGAGTTAATATGTCCAAACAGCCATAGGAGTGCCTGGCACACAGTAGGTGACAACTATTGTATATTGTTATTAATGGGCGTACCTGGTGGCTCCAATTGTAAAGAAGCCGCCTGCAATGCAGGAGACCTGGGTTCGATCCCTGGGTTGGGAAGATCCCCTGGAAAAGGGAATGGCTACCAATTCCAGTATTCTTTTCTGGAGAACCCCTTGGACGGAGGAACCTGGCGGGTTACAGTCCATGGGTTGCAAAGAGTTTCGCGTGACTGCATGACTAAGCACACACACACACATTGTTAATAATACCCCTCAGGATCCTCACAGGATTATATTTTGAAAAGGAGGATAGAACTTAATTTGGGATGGTGACCACTTGAAAACTGAAGGATTTTTCAAAGCAGTTAACGAGAAGCCAGTTTCTTGTTCATGAGATTATTTTCAGTAACTAAAAATACAGCATTGGACTCTCAAAGACATACTTGCAAAATAGTTCTACCTTTGCATTCACACTTCCGCATCAAACCATCCTTACCTGGCTTGCTATGTTGCATGAAGAAATGAACCTTTTCTGTTTATTAATAGAGCTAGTTGCACTAATTGTAGTGAACATATTTCGTCATGCAAATTTGGATTCTGATGCCTATCGCTTTTAAAATTAGCTGTCTTGCTCTGGGCTTTCTTTGGAAATGGGTGACTGCAAAAATTGCATCTGTTGGTTTTAATTCCCATTTTTCAGTGTTGCACCTTCCAAGGGTAATATATAGGTGCGGCCTTCAGACATGCCTGTGAGTGTGAAGTCAAGAATTCATGGGCCTAGCTCTCAGTAGCCTTCCCACCCACCAGTAATCTCAACCTTCTGGCATTCTTCTGAAATCATTTCACTTGCTAAGCGCTTGTTGGTACATCCTTCTCCTTGGCACCTTGAGGCACTGTTTTCTGAGATGCCCTTGAACCCTCATTAACTGGCACATATTAACTGCTCAATCATTGTTGAATAAACAGATGAGTAAATGACTTTAGTGTCTGAGTCTGTCATAAAATACATTTAACTCCTGCTCACTTAAGCACTTCTCTCTGTGAAATAAACTGTACCAATGTTTTCTTGGGTCAGTCTCCCAAGGCAATAAAAATAAAAGCAAAAATAAACAAATGGGACCTAATCAAACTTATAAGCTTTTGCACAGTAAAGAAAACCATAAACAAAATGAAAGGACAACCCATGGACTGGGAGAAAATATTGCAAATGACACAACCAACAAGGGCTCAATCTCCAAAATATACAAACATTTCATACAACTCAGTATGAAATGGGCAGAAGATCTAAATAGACATTTCTCCAAAAAAGACATAAAAATGACCAATAAGCATATGAAAAGATGCTCAATATTGCTAATTATTAGAGAAATGCAAATCAAAACTCCCATGAAGTACTACCTCACACTGGTCAGACTGGTCATCATTAAAAAGTCTACAAATCATAAATGTTGAAGAAGGTGTGGAGAAAAGGGAACCTTCTTACCCTGTTGGTGGGAATATAGATTGGTGCAGCTACTATGGGAAACAGTATTGAGGTTCCTCAAAAAACTACAAATAGAGTTACATATGATCCTGCAATCCCACTCCCAGACAAAACTATAATTCAAAAAGATACATGTACCCCTATGTGCATAGCAGCACTATTGAGAATTGCCAAGACATGGAGACAACCTAAATGTCAATCAACAGATGGATGGATAAATAAGATGTTACAAACATATATACCATGGACTACTAGTCAGACATGAAAAAGAACAAGATAATGCTATTTGAAGCAACATGAATGCAACTAGAGATGATCATACCAAGCAAAGTCATAAAGAGAAAGACACATACCATATGGTATCACATATGTGTGGAGCCTAAAATAAGACACAAAATGAACATATCTACAAAACAGAAACAGACTCACAAACTTAGAGAGCAGACTTGTGATTGCCCAGGGGGAGGAGTGTGGGGGAGGGATGGATTGAGAGCTTGGGATTAGCAGAGGCAAACTAGTGTATACAGGATGGATAAACAACAAGGTCCTACTGTACAGCCCAGGCAACTGTATTCAACATCCTGTGATGAAACCATGATGGAAAAGAGGATATATTTGTGTAACTGAGTCACATCACTCTACAGCAGAAAGAAACACAACTTTGTAAATCACTTCTGCTTCAATACAATTAATAACAAAATTAAGAAGAACTGACATTTCTCTCTCCTTCCTTTTCCTGTATTTTATTTGCAGATAAGAAACTGTAACATTTTATCCCCCAGGCATGACTGCTGAAGACACGGGTACAGTTTTAGTTTTGCATATTTTGCATAGATTCGTCCAGACAAGAGGACAGCTTGGCTCTGATATTCAGCCTGTGTTCTGCTCACTAAGCCTTGGCAGGTAGCTCTGTTTAATCAGAGGTGGTGCTGCCTTTTCTGGCCACTCCGAGTGTCTGCGGGGCTTTTCTCCCCCATGTATGAACCCCCAGCGCCTCCCTCCCCCCACCAACAGGTTCCTTGTCCCTCACTTTTCTGCTCACAGGCCAGTTGTTGGGGGGGGGGATGCTTTATCTACACAGGCACCATATAGTCTGCTAGTGGCCATAGTAGTAAATTCAGAATTTCATCACCTTGTCTCATGACTACCAACAGCTGAAGCAGAGTAAGAAGAACAAATGAATGCCTTGTTTCATGAAGCCTGTTGTCTCAAATAATGATCTGTCATAGTACAAATAGCAGCTTCCTCTTGTTACCCACACCACAGTGCAGTCTACATTTCAGAGTGGTTGGCTGTTATTTTCAAGTGGCTTCATAATCATATAGATAACTTATGACAGTCCTTTCCTCTCTACCAGAATATTAACTTTAAAGCATCTCCTACTAATGATGAATTTATTAGCTCCTACTGTATGTAGGTGAGCTGGAAGAAATTGAAAAGCAAAGGCCTTACATAATCCTGAATCGCCACGATCTTCCAGTTCCTGAGCCATGGAATCTGTTTTGAGAACTAACAGCTGATTAGAAAACATGAAGAGTTTGTATTTTTCCCCTGTATCTCTGGTTTGGCTCTAGTGACCAATGTCTGGGCTGGAGAGCAGGAGGGTGAACATCAGCCAGGCCGTCGGTCAGCTCCTGCCTCCCCAGGGCCCACCCAGCCTATGGCCGAGAGCTTCACGCAACTAACCTTACTTCTCTCGTGGCTGGTGGTGGGATTGCAAGGCCACTTTTAAATCCCTTAACACAAGAAGGAAGCTGGTGCAATAAAGGATGTGGTGGGGATGAGGACGAGTGGGCACTTGCTCCTAAAAGAAGCAGTAGCCAGCCCCGCCTGTGGGGTGCTGCTGCTGCTGCTGCCAAGTCGCTCAGTCGTGTCCGACTCTGTGTGACCCCACAGACGGCAGCCCACCAGGCTCCGCCGTCCCTGGGATTCCCCAGGCAAGAACACTGGAGTGGGTTGCCATTTCCTTCTCCAATACCTGTGGGGTGTTTCTGGATATTTCAGTATTTTCAGAGGAAACTGGAACAGCTAGTTGTTGGTGTGAAATTTAATGAATTTTTAAATGTTGTCTTGTGAAAGTGAAGTTGCTTAGTCATGTCTGACTCTTTGCGACCCCATGGTCTCTAGCCCACCAGGCTCCTAGGAATTCCCCAGGAAAGAATGCTGGAGTGGGTAGCCAGGCCCTCCTCCAAGGGATCTTCCTGACCCAGGAATCGAACTCTTGTCTCCTGCATTGCAGGCAGATTCTTTCCTGTCTGAGCCACCGAGAAAGCTCCTAAATGTTGGCTTGAATTCCTTTAAAGAAATATGGGACAAATAAAGCACTTTGACAATGGGATCCAGCTCCTGCCGAAAGTTCCAGACCTCTGGATTACTGGAGGGTGTGCAGGCAAAGACCCGGCTCATTGTATTTTACGAGAAGTCCCACCAGGCCCTCTGCATATGCTCTGTTGGGTGAGTGCAGTCATAGTCTTGGGAGACTGGGAAGCATAAGGCTAAGGATTGGTGGAGGGGACTCTCCCATGAGAAAAGGTGTGATGAGAAAGAACCAGGGATGCTTGCTCATAGAACAGAATTCCGGAATCTCTTCCAGGAGCTGGCCCCATGCTGTGCTGGGTATCACCTTGAACTGCACAGCAGTGAAGAATTACCCGGACCGACCCCATGAAGAGGAGGGACCCAGTGTATGAGGCAGGGTTCTCCAGGGAGACAGGGGCAAGGATGTGTAGATGTGCATGTGTATGTGTGTGTATACGAATATTTATGTAACATTTATAAGTACATACATTTGTGCATATAGGAAAGATTATATACACACATGTGTATGAATACACCAATATATGATTTATTTTAAGGAATTGGGTCATGCAGTTGTGGGGCTGGTAAGTGTGAAATCCGTAGAGCAGCCTGCAGGTTGCAAATTCAGGCAGGATTTCTGTGTTACAGTTTTGAGGCACAGTTGATGTCTGGAGAGTCCCCATTTCTGCTCCTACGTCCTTCAACTGATTGGATGAGGTCCATCCACATCAGGGGCCTTCCCTGGTGGGTCTGACGGTAAAGAATCCACCTACAATGCAGGAGACCCAAGTTTGATTCCTGGGTTGGGAAGATCCTCTGGAGAAGAGAATGGCAACCCACTCCAGTATGCTTGCCTGGAGAATTGCTTGGACAAAGGAAGCTGGTGGGCTACAGTTCATGGGGTCACAAAAAGTCAGACATGACTGGGTGACTAACATACACATACACACATCATCGAGGATTCATCACATCTACTTAACACCTCCATGGCAACACCAAAATAAACTGGAGTTTGATTCAGTGACTGAGTGCGGCAGCCCAGACAAGTTGACATGTGAAACTGACCATCACACTCAGGGTTCCTGGTGTTGGGAGCCTGGGGAGCATGAGGCTGGGTGGATGTTTCCAGAATTATGGTCCGTAAGGCGTGGAGCACGGGCCACACACACTCCATAACATGGCATCTGAATGCCGTGTGCTGTGCTCAGCCACTCAGTCATGTCCAGCTCTTTTGTGATCCCATGGACTGTAGCCCACCACACTCCTCTGTCCATTGAATTTTCCAGGCAAGAATACTGGAGTGGGTTGCCATTTCCAGAGGATCTTCCCAACCCAGGAATCGAACTCGTGACTCTTGCATTTCCTGCTTTGGCAGGTGGATTCCTTACCACTACACCACATGGAAAGCCCCTGAATGCAGTAGGTCACATCTAATCCCAGCCAAAGGAGGAGCAATCTTGCAGGGAATAAAGTTAAAGCTTCAAGCCTGCTCACATGCAAGTGTCCTGTCCTTCCAACATACTATACCTCCTTCTGTGTTCGTAATATTGAATTCTTGTTCTTGGTTGTCACTTACTATATGAGCTCCAGATTCCTCAATATGCAACTTGCTTCAGTCAGCTCTACTACTATTTCTGTGTGCCCTCCAGCCAGCCTTTCTGTTTTTCTGAGTCTCAGTTTCTCCATTTGTAAGTTGAGCAAAGGAATCCTAACCATCTTCTGGAATCCGTCTCAAGAATAAGAGACTGTGCAATTGTTAACATACATAAAATCTAAATGCTTTCTCCTAGTTTCTGCTCCTCAAAAATGTTCTAATATTAGTATTTGTTAGCTAAAAACATAGTACCAACTTCCTGTACTAGATAAAACAGGTAATTTAAAGTGTGAGAGTGTACAATTGTCCATCTCCAAGGAGCATAAAGAGCTATTTTCATTTCAAACAGCTAGCTTTCCAAATGCCTCATATCAGAAATGCAGGGAACATCATCTAGCCATGTCTGTGGTACCCGGGGTCCCTCACTGGGTGTTGCCAGGGCCTGGGGGGCAGAGGGTCTCACAACCTGCTTCTCAGCCGGCTCCTTATGGCAGCAGTGTGGCAAGTATCAGCATTCCATTTTTCCAGATGAGGGAACCAAAGCACAGAGAAGTTAAGTTTCACTTACTCCGGGTCACATAAGCAGCAGAGTTGAGATTCAAACCCCCTGGGGTGCTGCTCTGTTAGCTGAGGTCTGGAGGTAGAGATGAAGCTGGAGCTTGAGGAGAGTATTTGCTGATGGCAGCAGGCAATTTACATGTGGAAAAAGGGGAGTACAGGATGTGATGAAACTTCCTTGCCGAGCAGGAATAGAGACGCAGACATAGAGAACAGGTTTGTGGATACGGGGGTGGGGAAGGGAAGGGTGGGATGACCTGGGAGAGCAGCCCTGACATATACACACCACCATGTGTGAAAGAGAAGCTGGGGGAAGCTGCTTACAGCATCGGGAGCTCAGCTGCGTGCTCTGTGATGGCCTCCAGGGTGGGATGGGGGCGGTGAGGGGAGGCTCCCAAGGGGGGCGTGTGTGTATACATATTTATTATTTTATTAGTTAAATTTATAAATAAATAAAATAAACCCTCTAATTAAATAAAATGAAAAGATAATAAAGTTGAAAAAGTCAAATAAACTTACAAAAAAAAAAAGAGTACAGGGTGGAAAATAAAAATTCAGGGCTTTAGAAAGAGAGAGAGAAAAAAAATTGAGAAGTAACCAAAATAGCTAAAAGTTTCTCTGAATCAATAGTAATTAATAATAACTAATGATGAATATCACAATAATCTAAGCTGAAAGGTTTTGACAGGTGAGGTTTGGATGTTAGAGCATAAAAATCAAGGGGACGTGATCTGTGAAGGAGTACAGCTTTTAGCATCTTGAAAGATGCCCTGAATGATGTGAAGGTCTGAAGGCAAACGTCTGGGAAGGTGCTTAGGGTCTAGTGTATATTAGCGCTGAAAAGGGGGAAAAAAGAGAGGTGGATAGAGATTAGAGCAAGAGAACCAAGATTTAAATATATTTCCATAGAATAATTTTGGGGCAGTAACCCCTTTATTCACACTTAGTGGCTGTTTTCACCAAACAGAACACTCTTATGTGCATATAACAGAGAATCCATTGATGATATATAGGTACGCTCATTCTAACATAACCTACATCTGCTAATTATGCAGTGGTTTGTGCTGGTAACAGGGTTTTATACCTCTGCCTTCTAACCTAGTCCTACTTTTCTTGCCAGCTGTGGAAACACAAAGGCATGACTGAAACTTTCTGTAAAATTTATGAGATGGTCTTATTTTTATGATAAAAGACTTACCCTTCAACACACCCTCTGGTAAATTTTACATTTTCCTCAAATTAGGTTAAATCACAGCAGACAACTAAAAAGCATGTTGTTATTCTCTTTACATTCAATACAAGCACGTTCATTGAGGTTTATGAAGTCCCCAGTGACTGTCTATAATAGCCAGACTTTGCAATAGCCCATGTGTGGTCAAAATGCTGCAAAGTATGTGGTTCTCAAATGCGGGTGGGGTGGTCTGCCCTTCCCCTTGCACATTTCTGGTTGTCACAACCACAAGAGTGGGGGCTATAGAAGGTAGGGCCTGGGATGCTGGTAAAAATCATCTGATGAACAGGAACATTGTCCACAACAATGAGTTAGCTAGCCCAGATGCCACAGTGCCAGGGTGGAGAAGCCTGTCTGTCCTAGATCATTACAAAAGAAAGCGCTCTGATGGGCGATGTAAATATATGAGAACTTTAGCATTGAATGGAGGGAGGAATATGTAGAAAAAGGTTAACTTATGCAAGCTGAAACTTGCTTGCTTTTTACACGCATGCATGTGTACTCTGACTCAGTCGTGTCTCCTTGCGACCCCATGAACTGTAGTCGGTGAGGCTCCTCTGCCCGCGTGATTCTCCAGGCAGGAATACTGGAGAGGGTTGCCCTGTCCTTCTCCAGGGGACCTTTCCGACCCAGGGGTCAAACCCGTGTCTCCTGCTTGACAGATAGATTTTTTACCATTGGGCCACCTGGGAAGCTGATAATTGTACATCAGCATGCAAAAAACGATCACTTCCTTTTTATAAACTGAAAAATGTAACTCACTTGTTTGAAACCATGTTAGACTTTTGGCCCCATTTTTTTGATCTCAAGAGTTTCACCTCTATTCTTGGAACTCTATTCTTAGAACTCATGGACAAGAGATGAACCAGGACTAGGAAGTTTTAAAGTGTACATATATTTTTGCTGAGTCAATAAATGTCTTACCCTTTAG